TCCTTTTTTTGTGACGTACGATCTAGTTGACCCCACGATGATTTGTCCGCCTAAGCACGTTTGACTTCAGAATAGGTTCTTACCACGGCGTTAACTTGAGCTTGTAATTTACGCCTTCACCGTTTTGAGCTCGTTTATTACCTTTAAGTTTCCATAGAGGCGAGAAGGTTACGTTTTCTCCAGCTCCAGGATGTGATGAGTCGACATCGCAAATTACTTCTCGCTTTCTTAGCCCATAAAGATCTACTCAAGTCAGCCCAGCCTGGACAACATACATATTGTGCAACTGCAGAACTATTATAGGTCTATGTTGCCAGCTTGCCACAAGCCTACAGTGAGTGGCAAAGGTGTAACCACTCAATAAAGAGAAGTGGCGGGGAAAATGGGGGGACAGGTTGCCTGCAATGGCAAACGTGTGACCACACGGAACATTGACAGTCACGAATCCCGCGAGTACTACCATTCAGAGCGCCCACCTCCATGGGCAACGGCTCCAAAGCTGTCGAGTTGGTCTCTCTTAGACATGTCATACCATATCACACATCTGCAGCCTCTGCAGCCGTCTGTCATCTTTCTGTCGTCTTTCTATCACCTTCCTAAATGTCTCTACAAACAATTTCTGTAATAATGGGGACGCTGGACCCGATTTCCAGCAGAGTGCCGCTCCCCACCAATAGATGGAGCCCCTGACGAATGCTAGTGGTGTCTGCTCGTACCAGCACCCCTAGCTATTCTGCAGGAGTTCTCCCCCTCTCCCCCCCCCCCCCCCCCCCCAAAAAAAAAAAAAAAAAAAAAAAAAAAAAGAGTGGAGAAATGTACAAGAAATGGGGGTGAAGTGATTTACCACATAGAGGAGGGATGCCATGGAGGCTTTGAAAGAAAAAAACAAGGTGCTCCTTTCTATTTGTGGGATGCTGCAGTCAACTGCTTCCTTACATAGAAAACCAGCATTGATCACTGACTCATGCATCATTAATTGGCCATGTATGATTATGCTCGAGGACGATACAGACGGCGGCAAAAAAAATCACTCACCAGTATGGCGGACGCTTCATTGTCGAACCTACTTTTTTTGCAACGAAGCGAAACGAATCGGTCCCCGCAGAACTGGTACACGGAGAGCGGCGTCCTTGTATATGGTAGGAAGTCTTGCAGGTGGGGGCTCATACTGGTGGTGGTTTAGTTTGTCGACTCCCCAGTTTCCCTTACTCTTATAACGGAAAAAAAATGCAGATCTTGCATGATGCTCCCACATGAGAGTCCGCTCCTTGTGTGCTCCTTGTGTTGGGAAAAGTGTGAGGGCGCAGGCCCTGAAGGGCAGGCCAAGGACAACACGGGAGACCAAAAAGGGGCAGGAAAAACCGCAAGGCGGGACAGGGTGTGCATCTTTCTACATTCTAGCCTGGGATCCATTCTCATTCCGCACGTTGAGTGTGTCGTGCGGCGAGGCTCCTCGTGTGGTTCTTCTCATCGCGTTCTTCTCCCACAGTCAACTTAGGGCGGGGGAGAAACCGTCTACGCTATATTGGTTTCCGCCTTCCACCCGCGCTGTCAAGTTTTGTCGCTTTGTCCTTTTCCATGTTGTTTGGCGTTGCCTTTTACGTGGCGTTCACTTGGGTCAAGTGGGGTGCGTGTGGGGCTTTTCCCCGGTGCGCTGCAGTCTGTCCTTTCACGTGTTATTTTTATGCTGCATCTTCCGTGGGGGGTGCGGTCTCTTAGGGGCCTGATACAATACAAGTACATAGCTGGCCGATACGGATGCAAACAAAACAATACACCGAACTGCTAGCAAGCAGATCAAGAGGTAGAATCAACCCAAAGGCAGAACAAAAGTAATTCAAGAGTTGTGTTCGTTGAGCCGAGAGAAGGTTAGCATCTCCCTCGATAAGGACGGGAATAGTCTACGGACTATATGAACACACACGGTTTAGGCTACCCACCAAAAAAAAAAAAAAGTAATTCAAAAGTTCGTCTACTTGTTCCCGTTGCTCTCAGGATTGGAGCTACAAGTCTTTATGTCACCAACTGATGGGTGTACCATTGAGCCACATGGGCTCGGTCTTGTTTTCATTGCTTTCTTTCTCTTTCATGTTGAACAACCCGGGGTAATGCCAGGTGTGCTGATTCTTCCACTGGCACACTCGGGGTTTGTCTCCATCTATTGGTTGGGGGCAGCACCTGCTGGAAACCGGGTCCGGCTTCGCGTCGTACATACAAAAGGAGTTGCATGCCATGGTTGGCTTTTGTTGTTCACTGTACTGAGTGTCTGATGAGGCTGTGCATGTAGATCCCTTGGGTGGAGAGCAAGCCTCCTACCTCGAACAAAATGATAGCCCCACTGTCACCTGCTGCTAGTCGAAATTGAAGTTATTGTATGCCATTGAGTAGGCTAACAACTTCTGTACTTGTTTGGTCCTTCCCATAGTACCCCACTGTTCTGCTTCCTGTCCTGTATGTGCTGTGTTACCTCAGGATGGTCCATTCACGTCGGTAGTCGGAATCTGTTGTCACCAGTTGTCCACTGTTGTGGCCATCAGCCTTCACATGTGTTCTGTGGTCCCCCACACAGCCCCGGTACCGGGGGAGAGCCCATATTCGTTCGGGTGAGGATGTGAGGAGGCTGTGAGGATGCTGACGCCGTTGTCCTCCCGTTGAATAGCTTTGGCAGGCACATTTCTGGGCCCGGCTGGCCAGGTGCAGGGGTGGCCCGGCTGGCCAGGTGCAGGGGTGGCCCGGGTGGGTGGAGGGGGTTGGTGGTACCATGCACATAGTATGGCCTGCCCCACATGGTGCTGCCCGGTTCAATGATACAGTCCAATCCACATAGAATCACGCAGGGCACATAACACAGTGACTGCCCAGCCCCCATGGTAGCATACTCATGCCACGGGTGGAGTTGGGCCTAAGTGCGTTTGCATCTTTTTTTTCTTTGTGGATGTGTTTTGTCATATTCGCTATACGCTCAAAAAACGCATGACTGTACCAGACCGTTTCGTCGGATTTTCACCGACTCATCAGGAGGGTGTGTGTGTGTGTGGCTGTGTGTGTCAGTACTGTCCAATCCGCATAAGATCACCCACCCAGCATGCTACTGCCCAGTCCACATGATACCGCCCCGCCCATATAGGATCTATCACCCATGCTAAATGATATTGCCTGGCCCCTCGTAGCACCGCCTGTTTGAAACATGAACCGAAAGAGAAAAGGAAAATTGTTTGAATTGGAGTTGTTGTTGTTGTTGTTGTTGTTTTTTTTTTTTTTTTTTTTTTTTTTTTTTTTTTTTT